TCTGGTGAAAGTTTAGACAACCATTTTCAGATTAAAAAATGTGCACGTTTGCCATAATTCGACTGTTTTGTAACAAATTAAACCGCGCTTATCCGGTATCCAATTTCATGAAAATCATTTCAGTTGTTCTGTAGAAGCAGAGATATTCCGGGTCGTGCAATACTGGCGGATTCACACTCGTTTCCGTGATTGGATTATGCTGGCACAACGATACTTAAGAGGCATACAGCCTTCCAGGATAAGTGCGAAGAGAAAAATCCCTGTTTTCGTCTGGAATCGAAACCCGATTGTTGAACCAGTCACCACACTCAGTTATACCCAATCATCAATAAGTTTTGTATGAAATGTTTTCCACTCAGTTCAGTTATCGGGCATAATACCAGTTCTAATTGTCCAAAGCGGCGATATTTCATATTTTAAAAGTTTAGACAACCATTTTCAGATTAAAAAATGTGCACGTTTGCCATAATTCGACTGTTTTGTAACAAATTAAACCGCGCTTATCCGGTATCCAATTTCATGAAAATCCTTTCAGTTGTTCTGTAGAAGCAGAGATATTCCGGGTCATGCAATACTGGCGGATTCACACTCGTTTCCATGATTGGATTATGCTGGCACAACGATACTTAAGAGCCTTCCAGGATAAGTGCGAAGAAAAAAATCCCTGTTTCCGTCTGGAATCGAAACCCGATCGTTGAACCAGTCACCACACTCAGTTATACCCAATCATCAATACGTTTTGTACGAAATGTTTTTCATTCAGCTCAGTTATCGGGCATAATATCAGTTCTAATTGTCCAAAGCGGCGATATTTAATATTTTATTGATATATTTCTCATAATCTCTACTTTTCTTCAAGAATATTTTTTTACCGGCCTAGAAACATCTCATTCAGCACAATTTTCATAGAGTTCGGTTTTTCGTTTTCAGATTCATCATCACGTGACATTTTTCACCAGAAAATGCAATACTTGGTGCAGTTTAAACTGTCTCTTATTAAAGATTATTTTACTCACATCAGGAGTTGAAATACTGGACAGACAGACAAGTGATGGGGGCCACTATTTTGATGGCTAAAAGTACAGAAATGTATTTAGCTTACAAACGAGAAGATAGTTCTGTATTCCCTTAGGAATCTCTTCGTCTCACCCTCACAGAACACTTAACGAAACTTGAGCTAAAGTACTTTGAGATTCGATTGTATTACGGATTTCGAGACGAAAAATCATTAAACTCAACGCAAAGTAAATATAAAGAGTAGTTGATACGTTGTGTCTGTCAGCTATCAGAAGCTAATCGAACAAATTTAAGATGTGTCTCTTCAGAACTTCCTCGATAAACTTCCTGAAATATTTTACGTTTGTGTGCAGAGGGATTCCTTTCCATCGCCTGCACAGTTATTGTAGGCACTCTCAGTCTTCTACCGATTTCACTATCATAAATACATATTTGTACATTTATCTACAGCTCTTGCTGATAAAATATTTGTGTTACCTCTGACCGAAACATCTCCGAGTACAGAACAGCATTAAAATCGATGTCTGACCTTAAAAGAAACAAATGTAGAAATACTTTTGTAAAAATCATTCAGATCATTAGATATTGAAACGAATTCGATAAAACATTGGAATCTGTGATCAGTTTATAATGCTCTGTGTAATAATATGTAATTAACATAATTAAGTGGCTTATTCTTTGACGAGCCGAATACACTTTTCAAAGAATTTGCCCCACCGTAGTGAGAGAGTGATCATAATTAAGCCTATTTGCTTAATAATATTTATACTACGCTCTTAACACATAATTACACGATGTATACTCCCTGTTCTTATCAACACCGAGTCAGCATCATAATGTAAATAATTGGTACCCACATGGCCGTGGATTATGAACAGAGCATAAAATAATGTTGAATGGTGACCACATAGTGGGGATTAATATGAATATGTAGTAATTAGATGACATGATTTATTGTCGTCATGGTTAAATATTCGGTCCAAAGAATCAAGGTGTCGGATTGTTATGGGAACGAAGGTTTATTGTGTTCACAAGACTCCGCCATCGGCACCCCCCAAAAAAATATTCCTTTAAGATACATTTTAATATTATCCTCCCATCCACGCCTTAGTCTTCCAAGTCGTCACTGCTCTTCAGGTTTCCCAACCAAAATTTTTATATGCATTTTTCATCTCCCCTATGCCCGATCCTTCTCATTCCATTTGGTTTGGTCATCGTAATAAAATTCGATGAAAGGTACGAACCATGGAGCTTCTCTTCACGCATTTATGTCCGTCCTCCTGTTAAATTCGTCCAGCTTTGGCCCAAATATTCTCCTCAACACCCTGTTCGAAAAACACCTTCAATTGGTGTCATTTCTTTAATGTAAGAGACCTGGTTTCACACCCTCACAAAGAGTGGGTGACGTTATGATATTATCTTTGCATTTTTCGATAGCAGGCGGCAAGATAAAGGATTCTGAATTGCGTTGTCTCTCTCAGACGTTCCTTACGCCGTTTTTATCCGAATTTCCACTTGTCTTCTGTGATTATGTCATTCTCGTATGTTGGATGTGCTTTGATGTGGCATCCAAGCGGATCATTAAGCTTGTGACCATTGTCTAAACGTCTGAACTGAACCATCGATGACCTTGTACCCTAAATATCATAGACGGCCTAGATGAGAGAGGATCTCAGTATGTGGCCCGCCGGTGCGGCCCGAGAAAATTTTCAGTAATTCAATGCTACCACGTAATCTGGAGAAAAAAAAATTACGTTACATCAGAAAACACGTCTCGTTGATGTCGACAGTGTTTCACTCTGCCTGTCCAAGTGAGCGTGTATCAGGCTTAAACTGATTAACACTTGGAGGGAGGGATGCATGCGAATAGAAACATTATGGACCAATTTAGTAGTAATTTTGTGCATTGCCTTGAACTTTCAGTAAATTTTCCTTATTTGTAACCTCGCGCTATGTCGTTGCCAAATGGCCTGCCAATGGTAAGGACCCCTGGCCTAGAGAAACTTCTTAGTACGAAGCACAGACGACGTTAAGACAAAAGTAGAATAATTATAAATGCTAACACCAGAAATTAAATTAATTTAGGGAGATTTCCAATATTATTGAAACGAATCGGTCGTCGGCATCGAATTCAGAATCTCTAGTAAAGATTGTAAACAAAATATAGACGATGGAATGATTTGTCCTGATTTACAATACTGAAGAATCATTTTAATTGGCTGACAGATTTGTATTCAGATTATCAGAAGAAGTTAAAGGTCGGAGGTGGTTTGGATTCTTATAATGGGTGTCAGTAGAACTGTTAAGTCCCATATAAACCCTTTTTACAGCACGACTAATCGAGTTATCGTGTATCGATCGACCAGTTCAAGAGAGAATTGTCCTAAAGTGTCAGAGTTGACCAACTTTAAAATATACTTTGTTTTCCTTTGTAATTTCTGTTATCCTTAATTTTTCTTTGTTTTCCTTTCGTCTTTGTTTCTTCCTCGTTTCTCCTTCAAACGCAACCAAAACGCGTCACAGTTCATATTGTCGCAATAAAATCTGCGCGAGTAAAAAACGCCTAAAGCATGATGGGGTCTCAGCAGAAACTAGTGGGATGAGGGTTGGTAGCTCAAATGTTAAAATTTCACTCAGAATAATTGGTTTCGAGGAAAAAAAAATCGATGGTGGCGTATCGATTATCACTTTGCTACATCCTCAAACTTTCCCACGTCCTGAAGGCCGGATGTTCGAAACCTGCCTTGTGCTGTTTATGTAAGTCTGCATGACTTGCATTGCGTAACGCTGCGATGTTTCGATGTTGTTTCGAAACATGTAATGACATGTCCCCTGTAAGGCCATAGGTATCGTGTGGTTTGTTTAACGACGCTGTCATTAATTCAGACTGCTACATAGCGGTTGATGAGTGATGCAGAAGGAACGAGTCATGACCGAATTTCAGGTACTACCCTGGCATTTTCCCGGAGAGACTGGGTAAAACCGCGAAATATAACTTAAAACAACACAGTCGCGGGCATTACAATTAAAACAGAGTTGGCGTAGAGCAGTGGTATTCAACCTGGGGTACGCGAAGACATCTTAAGGGGTACGTGAAATTTTTTAAAAAAATATTATTTTATGATAAACACTGAATAATCAGTAAAGTAATTTATTTAATTTATTTTAGATGTAGATTATATACTATGTATAACTTGAATTATACACCAACGACTTTGGGGGTTCAAAGTTGAAGAGAAATTATATCTGGGGGGTACGCGAACAAAAAACGTTGAATACCACTGGCGTAGAGCACTTCGCGCACTCGGCGCGTGAGAGACCGCTACGAGCGGCTCGTAAATGTCATGACGGCAGTCTTGTCTGAAAATATTTCTCAGGTCTGAATACCAGTTCAAGTCTGTAAGGCGTCAGTTTCGTGAACGTTCTGTTTGTGTTTCAAGATTTCGTTTTATTTTCCCAAGAGACTGATTCTCTTCTTGAGGTAAAATTCGTTCTTTTTCCGTGACTAGTAGAATCATAATC